AAAAAAAAAGAGGGAGAGGGAGAGACGACTGATGGTGCGTGGAGGTTTAGAGAGGGATGAGGAGTGGAAGCGCGCGCCAGGCGAGTGGGAAACAAAACGCGTCCACCCCCAGCCAGCCAGAGATTACTGTAACCTATTGGTCATCAGCAAGCCATCTGCAATCTAAAGATCTGCTATAAAAAAAAAATAATAATAATAATAATAATAAAAAAAACCTGCTGACTGCTGGAAATCAATGCAATCTACCGCTGCGGGAAAGCAAGCAGACTGGGATGAAATAAGGAAGAAAAGTCCAAGCGAATCTAAGTTCATTAAAGTGACAGGTGATCAGAGTCGTGATCGGACTGGACTGTCATCTCTCCGTGGAAGGGCTTCAGGGCAGACAGCGGGCAATTAGATAGAGAATGGATGGACTTGAGCAGGCAGCTCTGTGGGTTTTTCTTTCTTCTTTTTTTCTGTGATTTCATTAGTTTAAATGTGCGAATCCAATGACTTCAATCACGTTTTCATTATTATTAGTATTATTATTTTAGAAATAAGACAATAAATCTACTTGGTGAAAGACCCTGAAAATAATTTCTTATTAAATAATGTTTGATTTCTGTTTCTTGGGAACACCTTGGTGCCATGAGTAAAGCCCTGATTCTTCTACAAGGTGTCAAAAACATCTTGTCCAAAGTTTGGCCTTTATTGATGTGACAGGTTCACACAGTTGATGCAGATTTGTCTGCCGCAAATCAAATTCTTTTTATTACTTGTACTCTGTCATGTATAAGATGCCAGTTTAAGATGATTTTAGGTTTGCGACATGGTTGGTGGTCAAAAAAAGGGTGTACATGGTCAGCAATGCAGTTCGATGCTCAGTTTGAACTCCAGATAAACACAGACGTCAGTCATCTTGAGGGTTGGCTCGTACTATCATCCCATCACTGCTACTTTGAGTTAAAAGGAGTCAGCTGAAGTGATTCTGACATCTGATCAAAATGCTTCCAAGTCTCGTCCCTTCAAAGGTTTTCCAGGTGTCCCATTGTGAGGATACTCCAGCCAGTGCCGACCCAGAACTTGCTAGATAGATTCTATATCCTGGGAATGTCTTTGGCTGAGGTTTTTCCTTGCAGAAAAAAGGGGTGAATCCTGGCTGGAGCTTTTCCAGGTGTGTTCCCTTAAGCTCCTTCTCCATGGGCGTGGCTTTACCTATGTGTTTTCCCACAGATTTATCTCCATTTCCAGGTACTGTGCAGTTCTTTCCGGTTTTCTGGAGCCACCTCAGGAGTGGTACAAGCTGGACCCAGTCTGCTATAGGGAACTGTATGGCTGCATTCATTGTTTGGCCCATGGATTTATATCAATAGCAACATCTCAAAAAGATTTTCAATCTGCAACAAGACTGTAGTAGTTGGCATCAAGACAAGCTGCAAATCAATAATCTCATGGTCGAACTTTGAGGTCCAAACCTTTTCATCTGTTGTATTGAAGAACGCATACAGTGTTAACTGGACGGGACAACAAGCAAAGAGCAAATACACCAAGAAATGTCGGAGAAACTGGCTGCCCGGGGGTTTCTTGTGGTTTATATACTAAAAACATGCCTGTTATTGTAGGTTGATTAGTCTCTCTAACTTGCTGTTTGTCCTGTGGGTCTCTTTGTTGCTCTGTGATAGACTGCCGTCTGGTCCATGGGTTTATTCCATCTCTCACCTTTTGACCCCCTTTGGGATCCTGTAAGGATTAAGCAGGTGTAGAAGACGGATTCATGGACTTCATTACAGCTGCAGGCACAGCCAGTAACACTGGCACCGTCCTA